GTTGATGCATGAATTTAATTTATAGTCTATTTGTAAGTATTGCATAATGCGTGTAACTGGGTAATTAAGTACCCGGATTGATAATCTAATAAAAGAGTATCGATTCCAAAGAAATTGATAGCAAGTTCTAAATAAAAAACAAGTTTCTTGGCGACAAACAAGCTTAGTGAATACACATCTTAGATATACATAGTAGTATAGGTGGTAGTGCCTGGTACGATACGCCAGTGCGCAAAGCGAGTGCTCTAACTAAGTGAATCGAGCCAAGAGACCCCATAACTACGAATGTATACGACAGTATGTTTGAATATCCTACCCAAATACATAATTAGCGTTTTAGGAACTGCTAATAATGAACATAATTATAGGAATGTTTTAATATGCTATATATAAAAGTATGTTCATAGTTACTATAGGTGACATAATTAAGAGTTAATTTGTAACATAATTAAAAGGTATATTTGAATGTCATATTTTAGCATATTCGTAGTTACTATAAACGAACATATGTTTGTATATGCTACATAATAATAAATATTTTAGCATGTTTGCAGATACTATAAACGAACATAAGTTTGAACATGCTACATAATAAAGTGTTTGCACATCTTATATAAACTTTATACTTTTAATTATATATTTTAAAATACAATATATTTATTAACTACTGTTTAAATTTTCAAAATTTTAAAATGTAATAAATAATCTAAAAACGCAAATGCACCCTTGCAAACACTAAATAAAGTATATTGGCAAATATTTATCAATGTTTAGTTAGAAACTTAGGTAGCGCACCCACAAAAATTGGTTTCCCCTGTTATTTTTACTGGAAATAAACCGTTGAGTTTGGGGTTAGGGTTAGAATGATAGAGTTTCTATTAGTAAAATTTCACATGGAACATTTTTAATTAGGCCGCAGGTGGTTTCTTAATTAAAATTTCGAGTTATTTCTGTTTTTTTTTGTTTTGCTTCAATTGTTTACATTACACTTTGATTGATCAAAAATCACAGGAGGGAACAATTTTTGTGAGTGCGTTAGGGGCTTCGGATCTTAATAAAAGATATTATTTTTAGAGTGCTGTATACTATGTTAATAGCATATTCACAAATTAAATTACCATATACAATTATTCAATAATAACCAAGTCGTACTTACAAATTTTTGTTAATATTTGATGAATTTGATGAATTTTTTTTTTATTTTTCATATTAATACCCTTATTTTCATCATTCTTAACTCAAATATTCATATCAACAACCAGACCAGATATTCTATCCAGGTTATTCACACCTGCAGATTCGATACCTTATTTTTATCTTCCCGAGCTCCAATTCCATATTCATCATGATTAGAGGTCTGATCTGGTCGGAAAATAAATATTCGAATATTCATTTATTTGTTTAATATCTGGATATTCATCAGCAAATTTCAATTTGAATATTCGGTGAATATTGATGATGAAATAGAGTGTATTATTAAGTTGAATAATTGCGAGTTTAAACACACAAGTTAACAAATGAATTTATACTTACAAGCCACATTAAATAGATAAATTAATAATACATTAATGCCCTTTTTTCATCGTTCTTTAAATCTCATATTCATATCAACAGACAGCTCAAGCAGATATTCCATTCGAATTATTAAACTTGCAAATTCAATAAGAAATAAATACTCTTTCCAAGCACCAATTCTACATCCATAACGATAACCAAGACAGAATACCTATTTAGATCATCGATACCTGCAAATTTTTAATAATGAATTAATACTTCTATTTTCATCATAATTTAAATCTCACATTCACATCAACGATTCGACCAGATATTCCAACCAGATTATTCATACTTGTAGATTCGATAAGAAATCAATACCTTATTTTATTTTTCTGAGCTCCAATTCAATATTCACCACGATAACCAAGCCAGAATATACTATTTGGATCATTCATACCTGTAAATTTTTAATAATGCATTAATACCCTTTTTTCGATATTCTTAAATCTTATATTGATATTAGCAAACAGATCAAGATATTCTATTCAAATTATTAAACTTTCGAATTTGATAAGAAATGAATACCTTATTTTTTTATCTTCCCAAGCTCCAATTCTATACCAATAACAATAACCAAGTCAGAATATCCTATTTGGATCGTTCGTACCTGCAAATTTAATAATGAATTAATACCCTTATTTTCATCATTCTTAAATCTCATATTCACATCAACGATCAGATTAGAAATTCCATCTAGATTATTCATACCTGCAGATTCGATAAGAAATAGATACCTTATTTTTATCTTCCCGAGCTTCAATTCGATATCCATAACAATAACTAAACCAGAATACCTGCCTTGATGATTCATGCCGTAAATTTTAATCATTGGTGAATGCCCTTATTTTCATAGTTCTTAATTCCATAATAGTAGTAACAACCATACCAGAATATACTGTTTATAATCATTCGTAACTGTATAATTTTAATAATGAATAATGCCTTTATTTTCACCATTCTTAACTCATATTTACATTAACAATCAGACCAAGACATCCCATTCGGATTATTCATATTATTCATACCTGTAGATTCGATAAGAAGCTTATGCCTTTCAATTCCATTTGGATCATTCGTACCTGCAAATTTTTTAATAATGAATTAATACCCATATTTCATCGTTCTTAACTCAAATCTATCTGTTACAACAACCAAGCCAGAATATCCATGTTTTGGTTCTAAAAAATTTTTTAATAATGAATAAGTGACTGTAATTTCTTTCTAAATTCTGTAACCAATAAATAGCCAAACTTTCATACCCGCAGATTTAATAAGAAATGAACACCTTATTTTTTTTTGTTTTTTATTTTTCTGAGCTCCGTTTTGTTCAGAACACTTGTACTTGCATAATGAATGAATGAATGAACTACCTTATTTAATTTCCATATTCAAAAAAAAAACAAGTACTCATTATGTTACGCGAAAATATATCACAACAGATCATGATCACTAAGACCACGGACATGTTGGTCGTGGGTTGGCACCCGAACTTGAGTCGGCGGTGATCCGCAGCCCCCACCGTGTTTACACCAATTCTGATTGGCTTAGTCAGTGATCTACAGTACGTGACCCGAACTTTTTTTGCCATGGCTAGGGTACTAGCTATTTAGTATGAAAATAACAGAAAATATTGGCATATCAGTGACGAAACTATTAGTGAAATTGTAGTGATATGTCCAAATTTAATACATATTTATATAAGTTATAGTAATCAAATTACAGATATATCATTAATTGAAATTGCAAGAAGATGTCAAAGAATAGAGTATATTAATATAGGTGGTTATAAAATTTCTGATAAATCATTAAAAGAAATCGCCAATTCTTGTCCAAAGCTTCAATATCTCCACCTACCTAATTGTTGTTATATATCCAATAGTGGAATAATAGAAATTGCAAGCTCACATCCTAATTTACTTAGTCTTTCTTTTGAAGGTGGAGGTCTCGAAGGTTGTGAGATTACAAACTTATCTATAAAAAAAATTGCTGAATTATATCCCAAACTCCAATATTTTAATGTATCAGAACAGGACGATATAACTGATGAATCTATTTGTATATTACTACAATTATGTCCCAATTTGCAAGAACTTATTCTTGAACAATGTAATATTACTGATGCAACTATTAATGCTATTATAAATTAACGTCGCAATCTTCAGAAACTTAATATCATATATTGCGACCAGGTTTCAAGAAATGCAATTTCAAGCATAAAAAGTTTTAATCCTGAAATTAAATTTCGAAGTAATAAATTACTAGTTATTCATGATTAAATGCAACTTTGCAAAAATCCGACAATTTCGAGGTATGCAATTATTTGCCAATAATAAGCAATATAAAATGTATTATTAGTACTAAGTTAGCTATTTTAATAATTTATTACAAGATTATTTAATTATCAGCACTTTTAAATACCTACTAAATTGGTTAAATTATGGTAATTTTTAGGTCTTTATTATTACTAAAACATTGATAGTATATTGCTAATATTAGCATTTTATTAGCGTAATAATTGACAAATATATTTATAAAATTAAATTACGATAATAAAATGCTAATAAAGTGCCTATATTTGCAAAAGTTTGTATTTTAATAGTATATTATCAGCACTGATAAATTGCAAGTTCGATTTTGACAGATTTTTGCAAAGAAATTTTATGGAGCAGAATACACATGCAATTTATTTTCCAATATAATAATTAAGATGAAAACAGAAAAGCTCGATCCAGTCGAGAGATTTGTATATAACATATATGAGATCAAAAATTCGGAGAAATATAATAGCAAGAACTCGATTCCTCAATGGCCCTTCAAATGCTTAATCTCTGGTCGAACCAATTCAGGGAAAACTACAGAAGTTGTTAATCTTTTGCTTGGAAATAAACTCTACCGGATATATAATGGGAAAAAAGGAGGGGCTAGAGATATTAAGTGTGATGATGTCGTACTTATTGGGCACCATCTCAAGGAACCCAAATACAGTATATGTGCCTTAAATCAGCATATCAAATAATCGCAAATAGTCCAGAGCCATATCGTGAAGATATTACATTTCAGGCTATGAAGCCTGATAAAATTCCAAAACTAGATTTATTCTCACCAGAAAGAGATACAGTAGTTATATTTGAGGATGTATCAGTGTTTCGGCCTAAACCTGATTTTGCAGATTATTTGCAGATCAAATTGGGTGAAACTAGTTTCGGAGGGTTTCGGACTTATAGGGCGAAACTAAAATTCCTCTGGGCGAAACGTTTCGGACTTTGGGGAGAGGTTTAGGCCGAAACACTGGGATGTATGCACTGAACCAAAAAAATTATACCTTACTTTACCGAAAGACGTCATTCTAATGTTTCTTCGATATATATATCACAGAGCTATTTCGACTGCCCAAAACTAATAAGAAAAAACTTAAAATATATTGTGCTTTTTAACGGCTCTTGTACCTCAGATGAGTTAAGTAGAATACTTCGTTTATATGTTAATGATTGGTGTAGTATCTATAAACTTGTTAATAAGCATCTATGTGAACAGAAATTTATTGTTTTTGATTTAAGTGTACCTCCTGAGCATACACATACTACTTTAAAATTAGATGAATAAAACGAGGTATATCTATTGGATGACAGACATTTATTTTTTTTTCTCATTATTTATTGTCGTGGCTGATGCTGGAAATTTTAATTATTTTTATATGAAATTTTTAAAAATTTTTTGGGCCTTTTGTTAGGTGGGTTTTTTTAGGGTTGGGTTAGGGTTTAGTGGTAGTTTTAATAATAAAAGAGTATAAGTAGATTTTAGTAGGGTTTTTATTTTTAAATCAAGGTCCCTAATTTCCAGCATCAGCTGTTTCCAGCTTTAGCCGCGACATTTATTAACGCATTAATATAAATAAATCCTACTCGCCACTTCTTATATAATTAAGAAGATGCACGTATCCAGCCTAGTGTTGAAACTGAGGTGGATAAGAAACAATAACAAGTATGATCTATTATCTACACTAGGGATTTTTGTGTCCCATAAAACAAGTTGATATGAAAAAATCAAAGTAAAAAATGTTACCAGCCCTCGGGGATAACGAAATAAAGTCTAAAGTACCAGCCCTCAGGAATACCTTAGGTGATTTTATTTTAAAGATATATATATGTAAATAAGTTATATAATTAATAAAGAGATTAAATCGAATATATAGATATGTTTTAATAAATTAAGTTATGCATTGTTAATTTGGTGCATTTCTTCTCAAACCGTCCATAATAATTTGTAATGTTGAGCTAATACATAAAATAAATATAATAAATTCAAGATAAAAGTTAAAGAAATCTAGTCTTAATGAAAAAATTATCTCTGCATGATGCTTGCGCTATTGCTGAATCTCGCGGTGGAAAATGCCTTTCTAAAGAATATATTAATCGTGAAACTCCGATGCTTTGGGAATGTAATAAATTTCATCAATAGACTGCTTTACTGAAAAAAGTTAGATATGATAAATCGTGGTGTCCATATTGTGCAAGTACAAAACTCACTCTTGAAGATGCTAAACAAATTGCAATATCTAAACATGGCCAATGCCTTTCAACAGAGTATGTTAATAATAAAATTCCGATGTTATGAAAATGCTATCAAAACCATATTTGGAGTGTTTCATTTTCAAATATTAACAATTTAGAAGCCAACTCAAATATTCTATATACGATACTTACAAAATTGCTAAAAGTCGAGGTGGGAGATGCCTTTCTAATAATTATATTAATTGTAATACTCCATTAAGATAGAAATGCGCAAAAGGACATGAATGGAATGCAGAGTTTCATAGAATAAAAAATGGTAAAAATTGGTGTCTATATTGCGCAGGCAATATTCGGTTTACTATTAAGGGTGCTAAACAAATTGCTTTCGATCAAAATGGGGAATGTCTTTTAGAGAAATATGTTAATAGTCAATCACCTTTGTTATGGTGTTGCGATAAAGGGCATACATGGTTTGCTCGATTTAACAATATAAAAAATAGTCCATGGTGTATATATATAAAGACACTATATGCCTGTGAAGTAAAATTCTTAGCAAAACTGTGACAAAATGTCATCATTCTACGATTTTAAGACTTAAAAAAAAATATCAAGAAACAAAACAATTAGTTACTCCATGTCATGAACGTATTATGATTCAAAAAATAATGAAAAATGAGTATACAATGGCTACTGATATACGAAAATCACCAAAAATTTATGACAAAATAAACATTAGTGCAAGTACAATCCACAGAATACTTAAAAGAAATGTGCATATGCAAAACACAAGATATAGATAATTGCTAATTATATAGATAGATTGGCCCCATCACCCGCTCACGCGAGTGGCGAGCAGCCCTTGCGCTCCTTACCCTGCACACCCATGAAGGCGTTGTTTTGCTGCTCAGTCATCCTTGTCGTCGCCATCGCTTTCGTGGTCTTTTTCGTCTTCAGAATTCTTGATTGTCCAGTATAAAGTCTTAACCAACTGAAAAAAAAACAGGTTAGCAACACCCAAGCCAGGAGTGGAGGAACGGAAGTAATACTCACTCATCGTTCTAGATCCCCCTCGTCTTTACGAAATTTCTCAAACTTTGCATCCAGCTGATCTGCGATGTGTTAGTAGATAATATGGGTAAGTGATGTATACCGCATGAAGCTGGACAAGCCGGCCTACCTGAAGTACAGTATACCAATTCGGCAATCTTCGTGTTGTTTCTTATGCTTTCCAGAAACTTTGCTGCGGCCTTTTCCGTCCCGATCTGGCCAACTATGAACTTCACACCTACAGATTGATACGATTAGTAGAGGACGGGCTGAAAAGGAGAGTTGGGCATAGACACGTACTCTCGCGAGGGTACCTGGTGTCTTCCAGCTTATTACCACACTCCAAAATCGCATCCACAAACTCGGAGGACTTTTCCTCTTCAGGCATGCCGTTGGTGATGACAGAGATAAGAAGCGGCCTTTCGAGGCTCTTCGATTCAAGCTTACTATAGACCAGTGGCTCGAGGATCTTAGATTTCAGGTACGTGCCAATCTCAGTGTTGCCACCTTCCTTATATGACATTGGCTCGAGGATGTTCCTGATCTCCGCGAGGGTCAGGTTTGAGTTATTGTCCACGTCTTGATTGATGAAGCGCAGTGCAACACCTTGGCCTTCGGGGAGGATCTTTGTGGTGATATCAATGATTTGATCGATGAGTTTTTTCTGGGAATCCCAACGACCGTCGCGCTTCATTGAGGAGCTGTCATCTATACAGTCGTTGTCAGAGTTGAACGAACAGGGAAATTGTGAACTACCCCAGCAGCGCCGACAGATTTTTACTGATCCGCAATCTAGAACATTCGAATTCTTAATTGTAATTGGCTATTATAATTTTTTTTTAAACCTTCTAGCAAAGATTTCTCAATAACTACTTGTGAAAATTTTTTTATTTTAATTCTATATTTTTGTAGAATCAAAATAAAAAAATATTTATTGAATTTGGTTTAACGGTCATTGAGAAACTATTGTTAAAAGTATAAATAAAACTCAAATATCTTGGTGAAAAATAAGCTAAAATCATGAAAAATTAACTCTTACTTTACAGAAACCTATGCTTTTTGCTAAATATGTTTAAAATATAAGTATTATATATTTACCATATTATTATAAT